AAAAAATAAAAATAAACTGGTAAAGAGTCAATGGTGAAAGGGGAAGAGGCTTAAGGAACCAAGGATTTGCAAAACACTGAGAGACTGCATATGGCTGAAGCACAGAATGTCGTTGGTCATGAGGTAGACAAACAGGCAAGAGGGGCCAGGACACAGATCAGCCCTCATGCCAAGTTAAGAAGTTTAGATTGACTGGGGAGTCAAGAGGAAACCACTGGAGGTTTTTACCCAGAGGAGTGAGATGATCAAAAGTAGGTTCTAATATCCTCTAGGATCTTCTCTGACAGCTGATATGGAGGCTAGAGGTATGGAGAAAAATTTAAGAGGCTGAAGAATGAAAGAATTGGTAGATGAGGACAGAAAAATGAAAGGCTACTTTTATGATGAATCCTGAATTGGAAAAGAGAAGGTTTTGAGTTCCAACCTTCCCATGTCCAAGAAGAGCCAGTTAAGGGCCTGGGGGTTTCTGACCAGGAACTAAGAGTTGGAGGGGCAGAGGCCTGCACCGTGGCCTGCAGCATGAGAGAAACAGACTGGCACAGCTCCAAACATGCATGTTCCTGTTGGCCTGGGAGCTCCTCACTCCTTTGAGTCCATTGTGCCTCAACTGTATATTTAATTTCAATCTTTTCCTCCTCTTCAGGTTTTACCACAGGAGACTAAGTCCATTCTAATCTGGAATGAATTATTTATGTGTCTGAACACTCTGGATGCCTGCCTGATTTATTTATTTTTCAAATAATACATCTGAACAAGAATTCACACAAGACAGGGCAAACATAATTTTGAGGCGAATGCCCTTCCCCAACTGTTGCCCAATCTATCATTCCAAACCACTGTGTGTGGCCTTGTCATCATCCTGTGGAGCCCTGAATCTATCCCTGCACACTAATTAGATGCCAAGTGCCTCTGACAGTCAAGATTTGCACTATCAGACCCCACTACCTGACCTTTACAATCTTATCTCCTGCTACTGTGACTTTCTCCACTGGTCCAAATTCCAGTCATTCAACCAAGGCCCAGTTCAAACACTTCCTACCCTATGAAGCCATCCCTGGTTCCCTCTCAAGGGGGAAGGCCCCCTCATGCTTCCGAATTTCCAGAGTCTTCTGTTTTCATGTCCCTCATTAGACTCTAAGATCCCCCAGGAGAACTTGGGCATGAACAAAGACACACAGCAGGTACCTCAGGAGAGTTAGCTTAAATTAGGGGGCATGGTCTCCCACATCCCAAGCAGCAGTTAAACAGGCCAGCTCAAGCAGACCAAATTTTGGAGTCGATATCTATAAAGTGCTGTCTGGACAAGTGGGCAGGGAAAGCCACCCACCTAGAGCTAATCTCTGACTAATGCCTCTTGGACTAACCCCAAGTGAAGTGCATATCCTTCACATGTATTTCACGAGCCTCCTGAAGAGCTTCTCCTCTCCAGGCTGACCTGCTTCCTTCAACCCCTCACACCTGTTGTGTGCCTTTCAGTTTAGGAGTTAGAGTCACGTCATTATTCCTAGTGATGCTGACAAGGGCCAAAGGATGCATGCAAGGTAGGCATTATTTTTCAGATACGGATTTGGGGCTTAGGAACCAGTGACTTGTCCAAGGTCACTCCCAGAATTGTCAGAGCTATTATTACTCCACCTAAGCCTTCCATTTCCCAGTGCAACAGAGTCCAAGACCTGCAAGTTGTCTGAAGTTGAAAGGAAAGAGACTTGAAAAGCGATTTGTATGTCCTAAAGCATACAAAAGTGTTCCTCTGTGGCCTGCGGTACCAGTTGCTGACAAAAGGCCACTTTGAGGGTTTGATGAAATCTAACCAAGGCTACAATGGGGAGCCAGGAGAGGCACTTTCAGGTTTCTGGCGTTTGCACCCACAACTGTTCATTCCCACTGGCACTCCCTCAGGCCGCACGCTGGAGAACGCGTTGACTAGTTGTGGCACGGCACGGCCACCGTATGGCGCCAAGGGAACGGTGCTCTGGTAGGTGGCGCCCCAGTGCCTCACGACAGGTGTGGTGGGTGACTCTGCACCTGCACCGCCGGGGCCAAGAAGACCTGGTGGGGGTCACCTGACTCTGGGTTTAAGGAGAGGCGGCGCGGCGGCGTCTGCCTCACGTGATCGGGCTCGGGCGGCGACGAGCGCGTCACGCTACGCCCCGCGCATCGGGTCGGTCAAGGTCTGCGCCTGCGCGGCCGCTGGTCGCCGGCTCGCCGACCTGCGGGTTGGCGGCTATCGGGCGCGGAGCCGGGCGCCCGCTGCAATGGGTGAGTGCGCGGGCTGGCGGCACGGGCTTTCCCCCCGGCCTGTATGTTGGAAGAGTGGAAGCACGAAAGAAGGTCTGAGGAGGCCGCCCCGCCCCGGCTCTCTGGCGCAGCCGCTGGGGCCCACCCTCTCCGCGCGCCCGGCCGCTCCTGCGAGCGCGCCCTCCTGGGTGGGGTCCGCAGCCGCGGGAACCACAGGAGCGGTGCTCCCGCACAGGGTCGGTTCTACGCCCCCGCAGCCCCCGGGCTCTCCCGTCAGCCGCCGGGTTTCGCGGGCCGTCGTGGGGCTTCACGGGGCGGGGGGCGCTGTCTGGCGGGCGGAGCTGGCCTTTCCGGCGAAGAAAGCTGTGCGTTTATTCGGACGCGCCCCTGCTGGGGAGGGGCCTCCAGCCGCGCAAGAACCGGAGAGGGGGGAGGGCCGGGCTTTGCCTGCGCCCGGGGGCGGGCGGCGCTGGGACAGCGGAAGGGCCCCTGCCCCCCTGGGGTCTGGGATTGCGGGCCCGCTGAGCTTGTTCACTGTCGGAGACGGAAGGGGCCTCGGTGATCCTACCCAGCCCCCGACCCTCTTATCCCAGATTGGGGAAATGGACGCTCGGAGGGCGGTAAGTCCGGCCACAGCCAGGCAGTGCTTATTCTGCGACACCATGTTGCATCGCGTTGTGGGAAACTCAATTGTACAAGGCTTTTGGGGGGCGGGCAGGCGGGCGGTGTTGTTCATTGTAAATCTCTGCTGATTATTTAGCACCGAGCGGGGCTAGATCAAGCATGTCGTTGCCTCAGCTATATTTACCCTTGGGGCATAACCTTTATTTTGCCCCGTCAGCTATACTCAGCTCGTCGTAATTCCCACGCTCTGTTTCTCTACCTGTAAGCAGTGAAACAGAAGCCCTGAAAGTATATGGGTAGTGAGCTTGCCAGTTCGAGCCTCCTCCACCCTCGTTTGGAAAGGATTCAATAAAATCAGAGGGTACTAAAACTGGTCAGGTGGGTCCCCTAGTGGTTCCAGAGCACAGGTTAGGCACTTTGGATCTGGAGTCACCCTTAGTGCATCTGAAGAAAAAATGATAAGCTATTACCTCTCAGTTGAGGTATCTGGTTTCTCCTTTGATAGATTAAACCCAGAGAATTGGATTTTTAAATTAAGGACCTTGCTTTGACTATAGCAAGGTAGTGTCATAACTAGGACTGGAACCCAGACTGATCTTGTTCTGATTGCAGACTCAGACCTGCTGACTTAGTGGGAGTTCACATCCTTTGAGAACTACCTTTGCCTTACCCCCAGTTTTTGCACAAAGACCTTTGTGCTGGGATCACATCTAGGTCTTGCTTATCCATGTAGGCTGTAAATTACAGTGAGTATTTAGACTTTTACACTGTTTATGCCACAAACGTTTGATAGTTGTAGTTGCTTAAAAGTCCACCTATTAACTGTGCTTCTTACTGTTTAGATAGCTTGAGTGTTTTAGGTAGCAAACAGTTTAAAATTAGGGTAAATAAGTTTTGCAATAGCGAAGAATTACCCGTGTTAGGGAATTTAAATATAGAGATCAGTTTAGTAAAGAAATTTAGCTGTGTTCAGTATAGTATATGTGCTGCCGAAGTGAGCACTGTGTTCACAGTATAAATAAACATATAAAATTCTGAACTCCATTGCCACAGAATACTGTGCACACTGTCCTTCTGTTGCCGAATTAAGAATCTGTTCATACCATCCTGGTGTGTAGGATGAAACTAGAGGGAAAGCGTTATTTTTTTTTTCTTTTCACATGTGTATTGGTGGTTTCTTTGAAGACATAAGTCTCAAGAGGTTAAAATTTAGAGGGAAAGTTTTAAATCTGAAGTCTAGGAGGGTTTCATGACCTTCCTTTTTCTATGCACAAGCCTGTTTTTTAAAATTTGAGACTTTACAGTGATTGGTTTTTTGTTTTTTTTTTTTTAGATTTTATTTGAGAGCAAGAGTGCACAAGGTTGGGGGAGGGAGAGGGAGAAGCAGGCTCCCCGCTGAGCAGGGAGTCCAGTGTGGGGCTGGATCCCAGGACCCAAAGGCAGACACCCAGTCGACTGAGCCACCCAGGTACCCGTACAGTGATATTCTTAAAATATCTTAAAATCATTAAATATAGGGGTCAATAAACAGTTAATTTCTGCTAGCCATAGTTTTCTGCTTAATAAGTCTCCATTATTACAAACAGCTGTGACAAATTAGTTGAAGTAACTTTAATTTGTAAAATTTTGGGAAGTAAATCATTCCAGTAAAAATTTAAGGTGAACATGGACAAAATTTGTTGGTCGGGTGTACAAATAACTTTGTATTCTCAAGGAACAGTAGATTGCTAAACAGTTTGCAGGTGGTAACTTTAGAATTTAAAATGTATTGTTATGTATTCAGTATGTAAATGAAATTTCTTAACATTCATAAATTGTCACAACATGATATTATATAATCATATATACAGTAATCAGAGTATTCTTGTTATTTTATCATTCTTTAGTCCTGACTCTGAAGAAGAGCAAAGGATTACCTAGATATAAAGCATTTGTGTGCTAAGCTGTTTTTAAAATGTTGGTTAATCTTAGATTGGCAATTGTAGCCCTAATAAGAGTTCTTAAATTCATGTCTGTCAGCTGAAACAGCAAGAAGTAAGGATGTAGAAGACTAAGTGATTAATAATTATCAAACTCTACCCTGGCAAACTTCTTTTCAAGCATTTTCAAACTTTTCTTTTTTAAGTAAAAATGCCATTGGTTTCTTTAACTGGCTAAGAGCACAAAATGTAACAGGCAGAAGATGTGTTTTAAACAAATTAAAAAGCTGTGGGTGGTTTTTTGTTGTTTTTTTTCCCCAATTCTCCCCAAGTCAGATAAATACATACCCACAAAAATGGTGAAGGAAAGCTGTCCTACATAAGAAGTGTATCCTGAATTAAGGGAAACTGCTGTTGAAACAGGAATTAACATAATAAACTCAGCAGTAGGTTAGCAGTGTTAAGAATTGAGTGTTCAGGGTGCTTTGGCTGACTCCGTGGAGTGTGCAACTCTTGATCTTGGGGTTGTGGGTTCAAGCTTCATGTTGGGCGTAGGGATTACTTAAAAAAAAAAAAATCTTAAAAATAATTGAGTCTTCAAATGCAGCATGGCACGATGCTATACTACATAAACTACTGAAACACTGCTATGTAGGAAGGAGGAAGTCTGTATGGCTTTTAGCAAAAATGGTTTTCCAGAAAAGCAAATCAAAACAATGCAGTCAGCAGATCAAGGAGGCTATAGCTAGATATCAGAACTATGGCTTCTCATATCTGTGCTAGAAGATCCTTTGTATCCAGAATGGACTAAAATTTCAGGACGAAACAGGGACTTTTAAAAAACATTCCTTTATCCATTTTAAGGTTCTCTGCCTCTTTCCCCCTCCCCCTGCATTTCAGCATGATCTAGCAGAAAGATGGCTGCCATTGGCTATTTTATTTTTTCTTTCTGTGGCAAGATTGTCATGGTGCCTGGATATTTCAGGTTTGTATGCTTCTCTTACCGTTGTCCTGTTGTGGTCAAAAAACAGTAATGGACTTAGTGTACTTGGCTTGCCGCTCCTGCTTCATTCTCCCACTAATGAAGGTCAGCTTCAGGGTGTATTTATCAAATATTTTGAGACTGGAGGACAGTTGCCAGATATTAAGATCCATCCTTTTATGATCTTCCTGTGGGCCACCAGAAAGATGCTCTTCTCCTGAGCATAAATAAAGGATATAAGATACACAAAGCCAAAACAGGTTTGGATTCTGGAGCTGGGCACATAAAACCCCAAATCAAAGCTACTATGTCAAGATGATGCAGATGATGAGGCAACCATCAATTAGACCAAAATTCTCCACAGTGTATCTTAAAAAGTTTTGCTCAAAGGGAAATATATCACCTTAAACATTCAAAATTATGAAACAAAGACTAAAAATAAGCATCTAACAAGAAATTAGAATACTATAAACCTAGACAAAACAGGAGAAAAGAGATGAAGAGGAAAAGCAAATTTAAAAACTGAAAATAGTAAAACTGGTAACTTCAACAGCTGTTTTTTTTTTCTGGGATGAGAGGAATGTAAATTTGACAAACTGGCTACCAAGAAAAAAGGGAATGTAAGTACACAAGACTAGAAGTATTTTTTAAAAACAAGTACTGTATAAGACTAAGTAAACCAGAACTTTTTTTTTTTAAAGGAAATCCAGTATCAAAATTGCAGAAGAAAGAACCTAACAGACCAGTAACAATGGAAGAAATTGAGAAAGTTCTCAAAAAGCTACCATCCCCCAAAACACCAGGCCCAGATGGTGTTACAGGTGAATTCCTTTAACTTTGAAGGAAAAGGTAATTTTGATAAGGTTTAAATTGTTCACCAGCATCAGGAAGGAAAAGTGATAGATTGTTTTTACAAAGCCAATAGAACATTGATGCCTGAACTTGGCGTGAAGATAGTACTAAAATTGAAAATTTGGTATGTTCTAGTGATGTGAAATTTTAAAATATTAGCAAAATGATATCTAGTGATATATTAAAAAAACATATTTTACCATGGCCAAGGAGGATTCATACCCTTATTATAAGGGCAAGTAATTAACAAGAAATAATGTATATACCAAATAAATACATTAGTGAATAATAACAGGTCATTCTTGTTGAGCACCTCTAGTGCTCTAGACTACTCTCCAGGATGCTGTACTAGTAGTAACTCAAATAACTGAACCAGCCTATGAGGTAGGTAACATCCTTAATGTATAAATGAGGAAATTAAGCCATAGAGACATGGAGGAACTTGAAGGTCACACAGTGGATATGTGGTGGAGCCAGGATTTGAATTGAGGCTATTAGCTGCAACTCGTAAATGTTACACGGGTTCTGTCTCCAGTATTCATGTGATCATCTCAGTAGCTCCTTAAAAGCATTTGACCAAAGTTCCTGATTTAGTGGTGGTAGGAGGGGTTGAAGGTGGTTGACTTGCAGTAAAACAGGAATAAATGTGTATTCCCTTCCCATGTTTGAAAACTCTCTAAGCCCTTATCAGTTGATATCTAGTATTAGAAAAATGGAATGCAGTTTTAATGTGAAACATAATTCCCTTCTAAATAGCAGGGGGATGGGGGCTTACATTATAATTGAAGATATACTAATTCATAGGATGAATGCAGAATGAAGTTTTGGGGTTTTTAATATAATTTATCTGATGAAATGTGATAGCCCTGGAAAGACGTACTTTACCTCATATTTGCAGCACAATCCTAAAGGTGGGCAGGGATAGGTGGTGAACAGGGAAGGTTACTTGAATGAGTACAGATTTTCTAGGGGCTAGTTCAGTAAACATTTTTGTGTCATGATGATCTATTTCCCTATGTAAACTTGAAACTACTAGGACTTGGATTATGAATACTCTGATGACAGCTTCCTGTTTCTCACCCCAAAAGCCAGTGTCGTGCTTAATAGTAATTCCTAGCAAAGTTCCCATAAGTGTCAAAAATATAAGGATATTCACTATTATTATAATTTAGATTTGTTCAGGAAATATTTGTGAATCTAATAAGAGAAGAAAGATACATATTATAATGGAGAAGTCAAAATTATTTGTGGTATTTTATATAGTGGAAGCTAAAGCAAAGCAGTCCAAAAAACTGAGAAATTGCAAGAGGATTTGATAAGTTGGCTGGTTCTAACCTTAATATACAAGAATTGGTAGCTTTTTCATTTGCAGACAAAAGGCAGTTTGAAAATTAATTGGAAGGAAACGGCCCATTCATAATTGCAACCAAAAAGATAAAATACCTAGGCATAAGAAATATTCAAGATCTGGGGGTACCTGGGTGCCTCAGTAAAGCCTCTGTCTCTTGATTTCAGCTCAGGTCATGATCTCAAGAGTCCTGAGATCATGCCCTGTCTAGGGCTCTGCGCTCAGTGGGGAGTCTGCTGCTCTCCTTCTCCCCGTGCCCCTCCCCCTGCTGGTGCTGCATGCTCTATCTCCAATCTTAAAAAAAAAAAAAAAAAAAAAACTATGAAAAATTTTTTAAATGCTACTAAGGTTTGTAAAAAGACAAGTAAATAGGAAGACATTATATTCCTGTAAAGTATGGTTTAATTTTGGAAAAGTGAGAGGTCTTTACATTTATCTATGAAGTCACTGTCTCTGTAAGATACCAACAAGATTTTTGGGAAGAATATGACAGAGATACACTAGAGTTTACCAGGAGAAGCATAATAGCCAGGAAAGCTGCTAATTCTCAGAAGAGTATGGGGAAGCCCTATGAGATGGTGACACGCATCATACTGCCGTAGCAGGTCAGAGCAGGTTGGCACTCGAGAAGCGCTGGCCTGCTGGCGGAGCAGAGCCCGTGCAGACATACATGCACACAGCCACGGGCATTTGGATGATGCTCACCGGTCACTTTCATAGGCAAGCTTTTCTCTTTGCCTCCTTATGCTGAAATTCCAGAGAGATTACAGTATGGCTGGTAAATGAAACCATGAAGGTTGTAGAGGGAAGCATGGATTACTCGTTCATACTTTTAGAGTAATGAAGGCCTTCTGAGGACATTATAAAGCCTAGAAACCAAGATCATAGATTTACTATCCAAATTAAGAACTTCAGTATCACAAAAATGATAAAGTAGGGAAAGTATTTGCCACAATTTGATTAATAGAACCAGGAATGATTTTCTTCATATATGAAGAAATTTTACAAATCAGAAAAGGTTTTTTTGCCTATTAGAAATATGGGTAACATGAAAATTTATAGTAAAAGAAATTCAAATGGTCAAAAATGGAAAAATACTGTAGTTTATTTTTTTAAGCAGGCCCCTCCACTGAGCAGGGAGCCTGACATGGGGCTCGATCCCAGGACCCTGGGATCATTACCTGAGCTGAAGGCAGATGCTTATTAACCAACTGAGCCACCCAGGTGCCCCAAAATGCTGTAGTTTAATCAAAAATTTTAAATGACAAAATGCAGTTTTTTACCCATGAGATGGTACAGGAAATGACGGGGGACCTAGGTACTGGCATACACGTAATGGAAGTATAAATCCTCATTAGTTTTCTGGGGGCAGTTTGGAGTAGCTATCAAATTAAAATGTATTACTATTTGAGCCAGCAATGCCATTCTGAAGATGTATCCTACAGGTAAACTTGCCAGAGTTCACCCAAGCAAGGTGTAGGTATAAGGTTGCCCAGTGCAGAATTCTTTAAGAGAAAAAAAGGAAAAAACCAAACCTAAACAAAAAACAGGGACCAAAGTAGAAGATAGAATAAATTACTTACAATATGTTCAATTGTTAGAATACTATACAATCATACAAAATACTGGGGTATCTCCATGCTGTTATTAGAAGTTTCCAGAATGCAGTGTGAGTGTCACTAGTGGCAGGTTGACTGGTAAAGAGGCTTTCCCACAGTCAGGCTAGACACAGAGAGCCCTGAGCTAAGGCAGTGAGCCTGGAGAGGGGAGATGTCTGTATATTTAATTGATTTAGAACTTTGTTTTCGCTTAAAAAAAAAAATCTTTTTTAAATGTTTATTTTTAATATGTCAATTTTTTTCCTAAAAAAGTAATACGCTTCTTTTGTGAATTTTCATTGAAATGACTCATTCGTCGTTTTACTGGATCTACAAGCAGCCCAACTCCAAGGAATCTGGCATCTCTGAGTCGAGCATCCAGGTGACTTCATAATCTAACTGTTCTAATACCTGCCAAGGTTAGAAATACTTCGTGTCTCTGAGCGAGGCCTTACTTTGATTTACGTTGCAGAGGAACACATTTTTGGAACGCCGGGGAACAGTTTTTACTGCCCCTTTAAACTGATTCATGATGGTGCTGAGCAGATTTCAGCTGTAAGTCCTGCTGCTTCCACTGCTCTGCCAAAGTGGGGACCATGTTCTTCATGAACAGAGTGGTGCCCAGAGGTGGTGTGGCTCCCCTGCTTGTGGGGGCTGGCAGTGAAAGAAAGCACCCCTGGCACAGTCGGGTTCTGTCGGTACAACCAGGCGACTTAGTAGCGAGGAAAGTTTCCTGACCCCTTTCAGGACCTTCCTTCCCGCAGAGTTCGGGCCTGCAGTGGTTTCCAAGTTTATCTTTTCTAATAGAAACATGGAGCAAGCCAGCTGGAACTCCAGCAAAACAGACTTTGGGCCAGAGTGTTCATTGTTGATTTTCCTAGTGTAGTCTGTCTTGTGGGAAGAAGACACACAGACCCTGGTGTGACATACTTAAGGAAAATAGCTTGTTTGCATTTGCTTCACGTGAGAAAGGTTAAGAATAGTACACAGTAACATCAGAGTGTATTGGGATCCTCCTGAGGGTCTCTCGTAATGCCGGTCCAAGCCTGCTTCCCCATCCTCCTCTGCCACCCACCCATCTTCCCCCCACATTCTGCTCGAGCAGAGGTACTCAATTCCTCGAGAATGCGATCCTGCTGCTCTGACACAGGACTTGCACCATAGCCTGTGCCGCCGCCCTTAGCGGAATGTGCTTCACCTATTTGCCCACAGGTCCTATCCTGCCCCATCATTGTCTCCAGACAGCTAGCTAATGACCCCTTTCTCTGCGGGGCCTTTATACACTTGTGTGCATTTCCGTGCATGCGTTTATAGTCCAATTGTTTGCGTGTCTTATCTCCCCTGAAGCTAGGGTTCCCATTTATCTCTAATCTCTGACTTGTAGGGCAGTGCCTTTGAATAAGTGGGTTGAATTTAATTTTCTTAGTTTGCTAATAGGCCAGTGTAAAAGCAGGCAAAGAGGAAGAAATCCCCAACAAAAGTAAATGAAGGTCTTCTTGACAGTGTTATCCTATAAGTCTCAATGAAACAGAAAAACATTTTTTATTTTTTATTTTTTTTTTAAAGATTTTATTTATTTATTTGAGAGAGAGA